GCAAGTAAGATGGCCCTATGACCACGGTTCCATAGTTTGTATCACATATTACGTCATCCAGAAGAAGCCAGCCTCATAGAAGCTAGAACTGGCTTCTAAATGCACACCTGAATCACCAACTCAGTGATAACTCTGACTGGATGTGGTGCCATCCTCAAGATGCAGCACATGTTTACATCAAAAACTTTTATATGGGGCTAAGTCTGTAATAAGAAGAACATGTAGGTTTAGAAACAAAGGGAGTTGGAAAACATGAATGGCCCCATCTACTGTCATTTCCAGTGATTCAATCACAATAAGGAACTTCATACTTCCTATTTTGCAATTCTTGGCATTGCAGAGATGTATTACTGCAACTAGGTAAGATTTTATTTAAGCTAACTAAATAATTTAAGTGGGAAGTCCTGGTCTCCAAAGGATATGCACTCTTGCCAGGAGACGCAAGTATTACCCTGAACAACAAGATGTAGATGCCACTAGGACACTTTGGAGTTCTTGTGCCCAGGAACCATGAAGTCAACATACTAACTGTGATAGTTGACCCTAATCCGCTAGAGAAGGTAGTGTTGTGTTCACACAATTAGGACAGGGAGAATATATGTGGAAGCTAGATGATCTACGTGGGTATCTTGGCATTTCCTTACCTCCTGATCCCAGTGCCCTATGATACATGCAGCTGCCACTGTCTGAAGAGGGAATGGTATGATTGCCAAGGGCTTACATTCCTGAGGACTGAAGGTTTGGGTTATACTACCCAGCCACCAAGGCCTGAAGAGACGATAGCTGACGGCAAGGGGAATTTAGAATGAATAGTGGGTTAGAGAAAGGAGGAATAGCATTTGTGGACCTGAGACCAACTGCAGCCTCAGAGGCTATTATTTATCCTACTAACCACCCTCATCTACATTTTTCCTCAGAAAGAGAGGCCCACAGGAACCATAAAGGAGCTGTCCCATGAACCTGCTTGGAGAAACAGATCTCTGTGGTGCAAGGGGTAGATCATAATGGTCATGAAAAATGGACAGGTCAGATCTCCTGCTGTGCCTGGGCAGCTCACAGCCAATGACCACGCGTGGTATGAGTCCTAATGCAGGACCATTCTGGAGAGATGTGGAACTCCTTTAACAAGAGATTTTGACTGCAAACTGCCCATTGGCCTGGCCAAAACTTTATTAGAATGGCACTTCAGATTGACACCCTTCCTACCCAATCCTTTCATTCCTGTGCCCCTCTCCTTCCTAGTTGTGGGAAGGAGAGATCTCTCTGCCTTCTCCTGCTCTCACCCTCTATCCTTCACAACAAGTTTCTTGCACAGAAATTTCTGTTTTGATGTCTGCTTCTGAAGACCTGAACAAACATATGAATCAACTATTATTATTTTTATCTGAAGCTTTATTTCTTCCATAAATATAAAGACCCTGGGGATAAGGTTAGGATATTTGGATCCAAAACTCATCATATACTCATGGCACTAAATCACAGGAAATTCTAAAATTTCTAGCAATATTTCTGGTAATCCAAATAATATTTATAAAAGTGTGTGTGCACATGTGTGTGTAGGTCCTTTGTTAAACCCTTGTACATTTGTGATTTGGGGCAGAAGAATTCTTTGCTTTAGAAACTATCTTGGTTCTATAATTTTTTAAAAATCCTGTCTTTTTTCTGTTCAAAAGGCAATACATATTCTTTTTTCAAAAAAAACAGTGACGGTAAAAAGTTAAAAAAAATAAGCTAAGTAGGGATTAAGGAAAGAGTAAAAGTCAAGGGTATCTATACTGATTAAAGAATTTTTAGGGCCAGGCATGGTGGCTCACATCTGTAATCCCAGCACTTTGGGAGGCTGAGGCAGGTGGATCACCTGAAGTCAGGAGTTTGTAACCAGCCTGGTCAAATTGGTGAAATCCCATCTCTACTAAACATACAAAAATTATCCGGGCGTGGTGGCAGGTGCCTGTAATCCCAGCTACTCAGGAGGCTAAGGCAAGAGAACTGCTTGAACCCGGGAGACAGAGGTTGCAGTGTGCTGAGATTGCGCCATTGCACTCCAGCCTGGGCAACAGAGCGAAACTTCATCTCAAAAAAAAAAAAAAAAAAAAGAATTTTTAAAATTCAGCAATAAAAGAGAAATGAATTACTGACACAATAACATGGATAAACCTCAAAAATATTATAAGAAGGTAGGCATGAAAGGTTATATTCTGTATGACTCCGCTTATTTAAAATTCTAGAAAAGTACATCTTACCTATAGTAACAGAAAGTTCTTCAGTGATTTTCTGGAGCTGGGGGCACTGACTGCAAAGGGGCAAAAAGAATTTTGGGGTATCAGAAATGTTCTTTGACTGAGGTGGTGGTTCCATGTGTGTGCATACTTCTATCAAAATTAATTGACCTATATACTTACAATGGCATATAAATGTATTTTATATATAAATTATGCCCTGGTAAAGTTGATTTTTTAAAAACACATGATTTTCAATTTTAGAAGAAACTTGGGTCAAAATATTCTTCTTCATCCAGGCCACCATCTTTTCTTACCTACATTTTGCAATACCGTCTGACTGTATTCCCTTATGGGAATAAAGCTTCCTTCCCAGCTGTTCTTCACTCTGCAGCCAGGCTGATGTTTCTAAAAGAAAATATGATTATGTCAGCCCGAATAACCCCTTCTTCTTCACATGTATCAGTCAGTGTTGACCCAGAGAAATAGAACCACTAAGACAGATATAGATGTCTGTTACAGGAATTTGACAGTTTGTGTAACCACACAATTGTGAGAACAGGTTAAAGTTTCTGTAACGCAGTTATGTTCACCTGTTATCTTCCGATGATGGAGTTTGAAGTCCACAGGGCAGGCAGTTGGGAAGGGAAGATGGATGTAAATTCCAGTAACAAGATGGAATCCACAAAGTGACAGAAAGAAATCTGTCAGTTCTCATGGCCTCTGACTTTGGTGGTATGAGGCAGAAGGTCAGGTCCTTCATTATCATGGAACTAAACACACACCTGGTCCAGGAGTCTGGGAAACTGACAGAGGATCCAGGGAAAGGTGAAGCAGTTGAAGGCTCAGCCAGTCTCACACCAACATGAGCTAACAGATAAGTAACATGCATGAGCTACAAAACAGCTGCTGCTTCACTTCCATCCTCCAAATCTCCCACAAGAATTTCTTACGGCCCACCCTAACCAAGAACATACAATAAAAGGAATGCTGTGAAATGTAGGTCAGCCTAGCCAAACCGACACACTACAAAGTCATCACACCATCCCAAACCTTAAATGGCTTCCTATTACCCTCACTGCCTTGAACAAAACTTGTAGTTATTTGTGACCTGCCTTTCCAGATTTTCTGCCATTATTTCCTAATCCATCTCAGGGTATACGTACCTATGTTTAGTACAAATGTTGTGACTTCTAAACCTTCCCACATTGAATTCTCTGACTGGAACACGCTTCCTTCTCTATCTTCTCCCTCAACCTGGCTAAGACCTCTTCACCCTTACAGCCTCAGTTTCCTTTAGGAAACCTTCTCTGACATACTCTCTTCATCACTGGTGACCAGTACAAAGTCAGGTCTATGTTAGCACCCAACAGACTTCAGTTGAATGAATAAAAGTGTGCTCATGAAAATTAAAACCGATTATAGTTCTATGAACACACAGCTGGAGCCTTTGGCATAACGGGGATAAAGTACTAAAGTCAAAGTCAGTGGGTAGGCAATGTGTCCAGTCTATTGCAATGTGGGAAACTCTATTCATTTCAGCAAAAATACACACATCCTGTTTATCCCCTATTCACTCTATACCACTGATATATAAACCCCTACTACAACATAAATGTCCTTAGTTGGAGTTGCCCAGAAAGCAGAACCTGAGAAAAAGCGGTTTGTTTGGGAGGTGATTCGTGGGAACAAGATTAAAAATCAGGGCGGATGAGAAAGGGAAAATAAAAGCAAGTTAATGAGTGTTAGAGCTAGCTAATATTGTGGGTAACTAAAGCTCTGTTTCACTGGGAACCCTGGGAAGAACTGTGGAGAACCACAGATACCCTTCTGAAAGGAGGCTGAGGCACTTAGCCACCAACTGTCCTCATCCCTCACTGGTTGAGTATTGCCTCTGGGGAATATGTTCCCTTCCCCCGACCAACACTTCCAGGCTGCTGGGGATGAACAAGATCCCTTGGCTTTAGAGAAAACAAGGCAGAGAGGTAGAGGGACCACCAACACATGTAGTAGGATGTTGGGAAAACATAGGAAACTAGCAAAGCTTCAAAAAAGTTAGAGGAAAGCCAAGGGGACGTGGCCCGAGTCTCGAACAATTTCTGCTCCACGTCCCAAAGATTTTTTATCTCCGTTAATCACTAGGTGCCAACATAAAGACAAAAAGAATAAGAAATGTCAAATCAATTTCAGTTTCTTCTTTCAGAGAACTGATGGCTTGGGAGTTTAGAGAAATTTCATTATACTGAATTACAGTATGAATAATATGAAGAAAAGAGGGCTAGGTGTTTAAGGAGTAAATAGATCATTACTGGCTGACAGTTTTACTCAAAGAATGCTGATGCAAACTTTGTTATATTCCTTCCTATGTATTGTATGGAAATGGTATGCCTGGAGTTCTACAGTATAGCAACCCTGCCTAGCAAAGAGGAGTTGAAAGGGACAGGAGCAGCTCAAATGTTATAGAAAATTGTTTGACCTAAAGTATTAGGAAAATATAGATCCATGGTTCTCATAGGCGGTGGGGTATGGCGGTTATTTTGTCCCCCAGAAAACATTTGGCAATATCTGGAAACACTTTTGGTTGTCACAACTGGGGAAGAGAGTGCTATTGGAATAGATTAAGAGATCAGGATGGCGTTAAACACCCAACAATGTACAGTACAATCCCCCTTTTCCCAACGAAGAATCATCTTACCCAAATATTATTAGTGCCAAGGTTGAGAAACCCTAACATAAAGGATATCTGGGTATCAATGTATAAATATATAATTTCTTCACATATAACATTTAAAAATCCATATTTAATTACAAATGATTTGTTCTACATTCCAGCAATACAAAGTGTTGCATTAGTACCACCAAAACCAAAGGAATTGGTGAGGCCAATAAATCTTTTCTCAGTTTTCCATTCCTGTGCCTTTAGTGGAACATAGTTGAGATCAAATTCTGGTTCTGTACAATCCAGGTTTAAAGTAGGTGGTAGTTTTTGATAATAACAAGCTAATGTGGTAAAAGCTGCCTCGGCCGCCCCTGCAGCTCCCAGCAGATGTCCTGTTGCTCCCTTAGTTGAGGAAACTGCAAGGGCATATGCATGGTCTTTGAAGAGATGTTTGATTGCCTTGTTTTCAGCAGCATCTCCCAATGGTGTGGAAGTAGCATGTGCATTTATATAGGATATCTCTTCAGGCTGTACACCTGCATCTTTTAAAGCAGCAGCCATACACCTAATAAAACAAGAAAAGACATCAGGACCAAGTTTAATTTTAACAAAAGTCTCTTCATCTGTATGGCTTATGTGAAACAAATGTAGGTATCCAAGTACACTGGATGAAAAGAATCCCTTATTCTACTAATGGAATGCTATCTTGGATTACCATGTGAGTTAGGATGTCATCTCTACGGGAATAATGAGTCACACTCACTACCTTGGACTGGTTCATCACCAAGAGTTAAACACACAAGCTAATGCAAGATTGTATAATCTCAAATAAAATATAATTTCATTTATTTGCATTGGCATTTTTCCTTGGGGAAAAAATATCATCTTGACCCAAGACTAGAATAATTTTTCTTCCAGGGATTTTTGGAGTGTGGCAATTTTTTATGAGAATTGTAATTATGATGTTTTTCACATTTAAATTTAAAACTTGGCATACTTCCCAATAATCTACTGTTCCATTGTTTCAAATAACCTTTCAAAATCCTCTTTATTTAGGCCATAAGAATTCTAAACAAAAAATTACAAAGGCAATCTAAGCCAAACAAACTTAAGAGTAAAAAAATATATCTGAAAGAACCTCTGAAAACGTTTTGGATGTCATCTTCCTTTAGTTCCTAAGAGAAATATACACGTACATATGTGTGTTTGTGTGTATATATATTTCTTAACAGCCAGCTCAGGGTATAATTTGAAGTACGCTGAAAGGTTTCCTGTGAACATAACCATTTCTTCATCTATTTTGTTACTATGCTTGACATTTTTAGCACCAGCAACTACTCACTAAAATTCAAAAGTAGGCCAGGCATGGTAGCTCACGCCTGTAATCCCAGCACTTTGGGAGGCCAAGGCAGGACTGCTTAAGGCCAGGAGTTTGAGACCAGCTCTGGCTCTGGCAACATAGCAAGACCCCAAGTCTATTAAAAAAAAAAAAAAAAAAAAAGAAAAAAGAAAAACAATCAAACAAAAACAAAATAAAAATTCAAACATATAATTTAGGGGTAGGTAAACTATGGCCCTGGCTAGATGCCTATTTTTGTAAATAGTTTTCACTGGAACACATTCATGCCCACTCATTTACATACTGTCTAAGGCTGCTTTCACATGACAATGGCAGATGGATTAGTTGCGACAGACTCCATGGCCCACAAAGCCAAAAATATTTACTATATTTTTCCCATTACAGAAAAGGTTGCTAACTCTGGCTAATTTAACTAAGTAAAACATAGTATGATTTAATAGCTATTAGCTATCTATTAACACATTATCAGGGACTTTTTTATTTTCATTTTAAAAGCACTAATCTATAACAGTTAACTTAAATGTAGTCCTTAAACCAGCAGTATCACCATCACCTGTTAGAACTACAGAATCTCCCAGTCTGGGAAATAAAGTGAAACCCCATCTCTACCAAAAAAAAAAACCAAAAACTGGTCTCAGTGGTGCATTCCTGTAGTCCCAGCTACTCAGGAAGCTGAGGTGATAGGATTGCTTGAGCCCAGGAGTTAGAGACTGCAGTGAGATAAGACTAGCATAAGCAATAAAGAGAGATCCTGTCTTTAAAAAAACAAAACAAAACAGAATCTCAAGCACCACCCAAGACCTACAGAATCAGAATTAGCATTTTAAATAAGATCCCTAGGTGATTATAGTTTGAGAAGTGCTGATTTGAAAAGAACAGAATTCTGTTGAAAAGAACAGAATCCTGCTGAAATGGAGCAAAGACCAGACACATCTAGAAGGGTTGACTTTACTTTCCAAGTCTGATGAAGGGTCAAAGAAGAGGACTTTGTGAGGGAGCACACTGATGCTTAAGCACAAATGGAGGTGTGAAAAGTTGGCAAAGGCACACGTGGTCTTTTTCGCAACTCCACTGGTTTTAACTCAAATGCAATTTTGTAAGGATGTTCAAATGCTTTGAAATACTTCAAATATCTTAAGCAAAGAATTAAATAATCTTGTTTAGTCTAAAAATTAAAACAATAGAGATTCGGTACACCAAGGCCAGACACTACAATTTTCCGTAATTTGGGACTCCCATTAAAGTGTCTTATTTGGAGAAATATTTTGAAGGAAAAAACCCATTTTTACCTTACGGCACCTTCTCCTTCAGGATCAGGGGCAGTTATGTGACCAGCATCACCTGAGAGTCCATAGCCCAAAACTTCTGCATAGATCCGGGCTCTTCTTTGAACAGCATGTTCATATTCTTCCAGCACCAGCACAGCTGCACCTTCTCCCATTACAAAACCATCTCTCTTTGGATGAAATGGTCGACAGGCCAACTTGGGATCTGAGTTTGTGCTCAGAGCCCGGGCTCTGGAAAACCCAGCAAGAGATAAAGGGCTAATACAAGAATCTGTACCTCCAGCCACCATCACATCAGCATCACCACGGGCTATAAATCTAAAAGAGTCTCCCACAGCATGAGCTCCTGTGGTACAGGCTGTGGATACCGCATGATTTGGGCCCTTGAGTTTATATCGAATGCTGACCTGGCCTGCTGCCATATTGATCAGAATCTTAGGGACAAAAAATGGGCTAACTCTATTGTAACCTTTTGTCTGAAAATTCAAAGCAGTTTCAGAAACAACTTCAAGAGGAATCATTCCCATGCCAATTGCAACACCAGTAGCCACTTGATCAGCTTCTGACTGAGGATGCCAGCCAGAATCCTTCAAGGCTAATTCTGCAGCCCCAATGGCCATGATGGTGGGAGAAGACATGGACTTGATATCTGATTTGGACACAAAGTTTTGTTCATTGAACTGACCTTCATCACTGCCTCTTGGCACATAAGCAGCAACACTGCAAGGGATACTCTTATACTCTTCACCAACCAGTGAAACAATTCCACTCTTTCCTGCGATAAGACGATCCCAAACCAAGTGAGTTCCAACACCAAGAGGAGTCACTAAGCCAATACCGGTAATGACAACTCGCCTATGCAATCTGGATATTGGCTCAGTTCCGAAAAACTTCCTTTTACTTCTTGTTACCTGTTGGCATAATCTTGAACACAGAAGACGAGTGCTTGTAATTTGCAGGAAATTTTGCAGGCAATTGGACATGATTGAGATTCAGATGATCAGAAACACATTCCTGTAAAAGACCACAACACACCTGGGAGGTATTCTTTTATATAGCTTAAGGGCCTAAGGAAAGACATCCAAGGTGTTCCTTTGGGTGCTTGATATGAGCTGCTAACGAACACAGGGAAAATGTTACATAATTTCAATTTATACCTTAACATCAAACTACCTGTTTAAACTTATCTCCTTTTCTAGACTGTAAGTGCCCTCAGACATTTGAAGACAAATAAATGAATTGATGATTCATTCGATTCACCAAAACAGTAATTCAATGAAAAATATAAAGGCACCTCCAGCCTGATATGAGTTGCAGGAAGCATCCTTTGTCAGGATTACTGATAACTTCTTCTAAATAGCATTTCTGGTGTCAGTGGCACAGAAAACACATTTCAGGGCATATTATCTTAAGTAAGTGGGCTTTATCAATCTTCAATAATTAAGGAAAACGAGCCTTTTCAAAACGCCAGCCAGGGCCAAGAGCCCTTGACTGAGCGTCTGGATACGTGGGTTGGCAACAGACTCTGTGTCCAAGCTTGCGACTGGGGGAAGGGGGCGAGTCTTTCCACCCCTCTAAACTTCTCCAATTGAATCATCTGTGGAAGGAGGGGTTAGGACTGGTGGATCACTTCAAGGGTACTACAAAAGCCAGGGGCGGGAGTAATAGGGCGTAGTCACTCCCTGTACTGCCTCTCAGTCACCACCACACATGTACACAACTGAAGAAGCATGGCGACAGAAAAAGAAATCAGGCCCTAAGTCCTCGGACTTCCCTCTCGAAATTCAACCCCGACTTGATTTGACTGTAAAGGAGGAAAGGAGGGTCGAAGGAGGAGGGTAGTGAGCGATACCTGTAACACGTTTACAGCTCCAGACACACTCGCCACTGTCCTAGGCGATGACGCGCTCGAGCGCACGCGCACGCGCACGTACGCTCATGCGCGCTCCCGCGCACGCATCCCGTTCTACTCCCCTTCCGCCGGTTGACTTTACGCCGCGTCACCTTGGCGGAGGTCAGACCTTGGGAGGCGGCTGGGTCGCTGTTTGCCTTAGCAGAGACTCTTCTCTCGGAACCTCAGTGACTCGCCGATAATTAAGGACCTGCAAATAACGCGATGAGATAGCATTTTCACCCATCAAAAAGGCATTTTTTCTTTGCCAGTGATAATGCCCAAATATTCCTTTTTGTCGGAGAAGGGACACCATCGTATTCTACTAGAATTGTAAGAAAGAATTAAGGAAATGACTGCAGTCACAAAGTTATTGCTATAGCTCGGAACGTTATTAGTAATTGTGAGTAAAGTAGAACTAACCAAAATGGCCAACATCAGGAAATTTGTTGTGTATCTTGTGGTACATCCAAATGCCATGAAGCCGTTTAAAATAACTCTACGGGTGAATATTTATTAATGAGATGTTGAGACTGTTTGTTAGGAGACATAGTTACAAAACAGTGTATATCCGTTTTTTCAAAAATAATTCTTTAAAGAGCTGCAAGATGTATAATGATTGTGATCTTTCCCTCATTTTTGCTTAGCTTTATTTAATAAAGCTTTTCTACAATAAACAAATGTTTTTGTAGTAAAGTTTTTACTTTTTAAAAGTTGTCACCAGGCCGCTCTGCTTATGGAGTAGTCATTCTTTGTTCCTTTACTTTCCTAATAAACTTCTTTCACTTAAAAAAAAAAAATTATCACCGGATTCGAGACAATACTTAAAAATATCATACCCATTGTAACACTGGAGACATTTGTTTCTAAGTGTCTGAAAAATTCATTAACTTTGCTCAGAGCGGATTGCAAATCGATGAAGGGAAAATACAACATGAAAACGTAAAAAAAGCAAGAAGTCGACAAGATGGTATTCATTGAACATCTGTTTTTCACATGCTATCCCAGGCGTGAGTTTAGTCCCTGCTCTTCTTTAGAAAAATGGTTGACCATAGAATCTTCATCTGGACCTTCTAGTCATATTTATGTTTCTTTCTGGGCAACGCCTCTTGAAGCCACTGTTTCCAAGTAGAGTCCTCTGCATTCTTTCCTACCCCTACAGAAGAATGTGAGTCAAGCTTAGCTTTTCCAGGTTGGTCCTGGATTTAAATGAATTTGGAAATCTATTTTGTTTAAAATAATTAAGCAAAGTCCAGTTTGACCTTCGTCCCAGGCCTAACCAGTCACCTCTAGTATGATCCTCATTCAGTGACAAATAGAGTTACTTTAAGAAGAATTAAACACATGTGTTATAAAAAAACTAACACTTGATGAGTAAGTACCTAAACTTGATCTCTTTTCATTGCTGTCTTTAAAATAATAGTGAGAAAATACCTACAATATTTTTTCTGAAGCTGAACTCATATGAAACATACAATTTTAATGTGCTATTTCTTTTGTAATATCACAAATCATCTTGGCTAAGAGGTGACAAATTAAAATCTTTCAAAAAAGTAAAAAGACCATCATTTTTGTATCTACCTCATCACCTTTGATCTGGAAAAGGGTGGGAAATTTTATGATATTTTATAGCTTTACGTATTTGGTACCGTATTTCCTGCTACAATCCCATGGTGTCTTCTTGCACCAAAATCTTCAAATGGGCTCTGCTTATCCTACCCTCCTATTAAGACTTTTTAGGTCTGCCTTAAATTCTTTGTAATCTGATTCAAAACTATCTTTCCAGTTATGGCTCCCATTCTCTATTGAGCTTTCTACCCAGCAAACTGATTTTCATACTATACATGTCTTGATTGACCCTAACTTTTCTCATCTCTGTACTTTTGGTATTGTCAACAACCATTCATTTTCTTCCTATCGATGCTTGAAGTTTGAATGCAAAAATGAGTAGAGGTATGGCTCTTGCTTTCAAGAAGTTCATGGTCTAATAAAGTTCATGGTCAACCCATTAGAAACAAGTAAGTGCAAACTATTGAAACAGGTGCTGTAGCGGAACTATTATAACACAAAAGGGACAATGAGGTCTGTGCTACCTTGCAAAATCAGAAAAGGCTTCAGAGAAATGATCCTTGAACTGCATCTTGGAAATGAATATTTGTCTAGTAAATTGGGTGGGAAAGGGCATCCTGGCAGGAAGAGTAGAACAAAGGCCTGGAGAAATGAAGTGTCATGGTATCTTCCACAAACAGCTAAGTATGTGGCCCATGTCAAATTTGAAGTGTGGGACAAAGCAACAGTAAAAGCATGAGAGTAAGGCAGGCCCAGGTCACAAAAGCCTGGGGTATCATACTGAGGACTTTGGATTTAATCCTGTAGTTCAGAGAGCATATGCTAGCCTCTGCTAGCATAATTTGGAGTGCAACATTCTTTTATTGATTCTAAACTCCTCTAGAAAGGACATAGTAAACTCTCTCATTCCCTTCACCGGAGTCTCTCTTACTCCTCTTTGTCTTCAACAAAGCCACTTAAAATATTTAAGTTACCAGCCTGGTTCCTGACACCATTTGACTTTAGAATGTGGGTAGAGGGAGCCATAGAAAACTTTTTACCAGGAGAACAACATGATCAGATGGCTGCTTTAGAAAGATCATGTTGCACAAATGAGCAGGGTGGATTGGAAGGATGTGGAAATGGACACAGGGAAGAAAGTTAAGAATGGATGCAACACGATGAGGCTCTGAGGGCAATGGCGAGGAGAGATGTAGGAGATGTTGAGAAGGAAACATTACTAGGATACTGTACATGATTTAAGGAGGGTGGGGAGTCTCTCACAGCTAGCAAGTCCTCTCCTTTCTGACCTTCTCAACCTCTCAATTTAAGGCCTCTGTTCAAATTGTCCCCCATCACTGAAACTGCAGCCCGCAATGAAATCTCCCTCCCTCTAAACTAGTAGTTCTCAAAGTTTCCTGTGTATCAAAATCACCTGAAGGGCTTGTTACCACACAGATTGCTGGGCCCCACCTTTAAAGATGGAGCTTCAGAATTTGTTTTCCTGACAAGTTTCCTGCTGATGCTGCTGTTGTCCAACCACTGCTCTAAACCTATGACTTCTATGAAAGTAGGGACCATATTTGTCTCCTTCACAGTGCTGAGCAACTAGTAGTCACTTCATAAATATATGATGAGTAAGTGAATTATGGAATGAATAAGTCAACATCCTTATATTTGAGAGTACACATGCACTTTTTGTGCATATCTCACCAAATGACTTTTGCGAAAACCAATGCCATAGCATTAATATTGTGATAAAAATGTACAGTCCATAAAATCATAGAAATCACCATTTTAAAAAAATCATCTGAAATTTAAGTCCTTCCAAATAACTCTTTAGTAACACTTCCGTTAAAGTTCTTGAGTAACTATAATCTCTTTTGAATACCGCCATTTATAAAGCTATTAAGGGAATCCATTATAATAAGGGACTTTGTCTCTCCTTTTCCTGGCTGCTTCCTCCACTTCAGTCAAGTTGGAGATATTCTAATTCTTCCATTTCCTTTAGAAAAGCTGAGTAAGTTACCCTACCTTTTATACCCATCATTGTTTCAAACAACCAAAGAATGGTCTAGTACTAAATCAGCATTGAAATTCTTGTTCTTTTATTTTATTTTATTTATATTTGTCCCAAAATAAAGATATTTTTTCCAGGATTTCACCTTTATTAAAAACATCATTTTTAGAGTTGACATATCATGGCATTGTTCTTTTTTTTTTCTTCTTCTTCTTCTTTTTGAGAGAGAGTCCTGCTCTGTCGCGTAGGCTGGAGTGCAGTGGGGCGATCTCAGCTCACTGCAACCTCTGCCTCCTGGGTTCAAGCGATTCCCCTGCCTCTCTACTTTCATGGTCAAATGGAAAATGACAAATGGGTCCACGCTTATTGTGGGCACCCCTTCAGCCTACATGCTTCCCGGTCCCTCTCTCTTCTTTGGGAGTCTTCCCTCCTCTGGGAGGGGCTTCGGCTGCGGGCCTCTCCCTCCCTGCCTCTCAGCCTCCCAAGTAGCTGGGACTCCAGGCGTGCACTACCGCGCCTGGCTAACGCTATTCTTTAATAAAACAGAAAAAAGAACTCTCTAAATTTTTCCCAGGATTTATTTGGTGATATTAAAAAGTTAACCTCCATAAAAACCATTAGCAAGGAGAGGGGTTGAAGTCTTTCAGGAATTTGTATAGGGATTCACTATTGTGTGACTACATTAAGTGCTTAACCAACAACTCTTTATTCAGAACCTGCTGTGTGCAAAGCAGTCTGAGACAGGTGGCACAAGAGACTTTTAATCAAACAGGGAAGACAAAACTAATGATAACTTACAATGAGATGGCGTTTTAGTTGAGGAAACAAACTATTATGAAGAGAAAAACAAGTCATTTTGTTCCCCCACAAAAGTACCCTATGACCATTCTATCTGTCAGAGGGAAGCCTGAGCTAGCAGCTTTCTGCCCTTTACTTGACACCTCTGCTTCAATACCAGAGCATTTCCACTTTGGTGTTTTGTATATAGACAATCTCCTATTTTTTTTTTTTTTGGTAGAGATGGGGTCTTGCCATGTTGCCCAGGGTGGTCTCGAACTCCTGGGCTCAAGCGATTCACCTACCTCAGCCTTCCAAAGTATTGGGATTATAGGCATGAGCCACCATGTCCAGCCCCTAAATTTTTATTTGGAAAAATATAAAAAAAGTTCTGTTGCATTTTAAAAAGTCACAAATACTGTATAATATATATTATTCTCATATAATTAGTAAAGTATAAATAAATGTATCAATGGAAAAAAGAAACCCAAATGAAGAGGAATAAAGTTTATGATAGCTATATCCCCAGACCCAAGCCCCCAATCCATTGTGTAGTTATAGGAGACTACATTTCCCAGACTCTCCCCTTTTATCTTTTTATGTTTTATTTTTATTTTTATTTTTTGTAAATCTGGCCTTACTGAAATACCCTCTTTTATCTTGATGAGGCCTCATTCTTAGCAATGATATGGTAGAGAAAATGCTGTATGTCATTTCTGGGCTTATGTGGTTAAAACTAGGTGTGACTTTTTTTTCTTTTTTTTTTTTTTTGTCCAAGCAGGCTGCCTGGATTTGTAAATTAAATTTCACTAGAACATAACCATGTCCATTTATTTTCAGGTATTGTCTGTGGAGCTACAACTGTAGAGGCAGAGTTAAATAGTTGAGACAGACCTTATGGCTCACAAAGCCTAAAACACTTACTATGTGGCCCTTTACAGAAAAATGTTTCTTGACCCCTGTTCTAAGGGATGGAAGGAGACTGGGTCCACTGACATTATGACACCTGCATTATTAAACTGTTATATGAGCCAGAAAGAAATTACTCTTGTGTTAAGCCACTGAAAATTTTAGTTACAGAAGCTAGCAACATACTACTTACTATCTGTTGAACATACCATACTTGGAAGCTGGTCCAAAGATCTACATATTTATTAAAAGCGTACGTATATCTGGGAGACGAATAGTCATTGAAGTGGATTGGCATAGCTTAGGGTCTTGCTCGGAGATTCTGGAAGAAAATTTCAAGTCTTAAAAGCAAACAGATGAAACATCAAGAAATGTAAAAGAAGTTATTCAGGCAAATCACTTATCTTAAGAAATAAAGTCAAGACAAATACTTGGTGAGGTTGAAAAGGAATTTCTGCAAAGAAGGAAGCCAGTGGTAAAGTACACTTTCAAGGACATGGTGGGGCAGAGACTGGATTAAAGTAGTTAGGGATGCATCTTCTAAGTGGAATAAAAGACCTTGATCACATGATATACCTAAAAAACAAGTCACAAAATAATACTTACCCTTACTGTGTGGGATGCAAATTTTTATTTTCGTCCCTTCCCGCCCCCGACATTCTATAATATTGCGTAATTATTACGCATGTGTTTTACGCTGGTCACCACGCAGTAAACCGAATCCACAACCCATTATTACGTTGCAACCTATGGTTTAAAAATACACTTCCTTACAGAGGAATCATGTACTAGTTGAGCTGGGACTTAGATTTTCAGTCATTCGCCAAATTCTGAAAAGAATCCACGTAACAAACCCAGCAGAGTTTATAGCCATGGTTTTGTTTTTGACGTTTGTTGCTCCTTCCTTCTGGGGTCTTTCATCCACATCTATGTAGAACGTCCTGACAATCTGCGAAGTGAAGGCGCTAAGGTCGTTTTATTTGTGGGGAAAGGAGAGAGGTACATGCGGTTTCTCCACCTTAATAGTTGGATCGATTAGGCTGGCCCCGGGGCGCAGAGGGATCCGGGTTTCTGAGAGGCACCTGCCAGCACCATTCTCCCGGTACCTCTAGACTAAAGCCGACCTCCCCTCCAGCCGAGCTCATCCGTCCTAAGGACTCGACAACCCCCTCCTCCAGCCCCACGCCCCTCAGCCCCGGCGCCCAGGCCCCGCCCTCCCTGCGGAACTCCTCCCCAACCTGTACGACCAGGCCCCAACCCTAGGTCGAAGCACCTCGCCCCAGCCGGCCGAGGCCCCCCCCACGTTGCTCCGAACAGCCCCTCGCCCCTCCCGAAGGGGCAGCAGTAG